ATTCTAGTATAGGATGGAAAATTAATTAAATGACTTGAGGAGCTCTATAACCGCGACACGTCAGCATGGCATTTTCGTTAATCACACGTAAAAGTAAGGTTATTTTTTAATAATGCTTATCAATTAATATATAAGGGATACTCCCTCCGTTATTTTATAAGTGATGTTTTAAGCTTCTATTTTTTTTCTTAAATAAATAATGTTTTCAATTTTCAATGCAAAATTAATTACTTTTTATTGGTTTTGACGATTTATATTCTGTAGATTATTTTTTTATTGGTTGATTAGATAATAAATGATGTTTTTGTTTAGAAATAAACAAAAATTAAATGATTTCTTAATCTATGTGCATTCTCCTAAAATATCACTTATAAAAGAACGGAGGGAGTATTTAATTAACGTTTTCCTAACATGCAATTAAATTTTGTCTTTAAAAGAGCTTTAATTAGCTGGATATTAATCTTCTAAATCCAGCTTCTTACTTAAAAAAAATCAGTTTCTAGAAACTATTAAGAAGTTTTTAGAAAACTTCTAGTCTAATTTATGTTTTAACATCACTAAATCAACCGAGTGACAATACATTAAATTTTGGATTAAAAGATAGTCAGATCATGAATTTGAGTCCCAAATTTTTTAAAAATCATACTTATTAACTATTTTGGCCGTCAATCTAAATAAACTATTTTAGATTATGATTTATGAGTTTGAAAAAGGAATTATAGGAAAAGTCATGCAAATTTTTTGTTCCTTTGTATATATAATTTCTAAATATATTTTTAGTTGTTCGGTTTACTAGTTATTCCATCAAATATATTTTCATTTACTCGCTATGCAACTAATTAAAAATATGTCAAAATCCACAATTAAAAAATCAGATTTTCGCCCAAACTATGTTGGGCTGAAAATACCGAGATTGTAAAAACAAATTATATTTGGAAAAAAGGTTTAGAGTAACAAAAGGAAAGATTGTTGTTATACTATTTCCAAGGATTGAAATATGGGAAAGGCGCAAAAAAAGACTGAAACAAGAAAAAGACAAAAGAGGAAACTGAAGCTTTGACTGATTCAACATCTCCCACGTGTACATGCTTTTCCTCCCGTAAATACCGGGCAACCCTCTCCTCAAAATTATATTTATAATTATTGCAATATAAATTTAATAAAAATGAAATACAATGTGGTTCCACAAATTGTATTATTGTATTAATCACTATTACATGTTTCATATTTCTTAGACCATCTCCAATGTATTTCCCTATTTTTATCTTTATCTCTATAAAATAGATGAATTTTCTCTATTTTTATTCCAATGTGTTCCTCTATTATTTCATCTAAAAAGTTTAACTCTATTTATAGGGAAAAAAATAGAAATTCTCTATATGATCATATATATAGAGCAAAAAATAAAAATCTCTATTTTAGATGTGAGAATAGAGTTAGGTTGGAGCAAATATGCCTCTAAAATAGAGTTTAGAGGCAAATATAGAGGTGAGTTGGAGATGCTCTTAGAAATAATATGCATATGTTATAAATATAATTATCAAAATAAATTTTAGTTTGTCTGCTAAATTTAGTTATATAGAGAAACTTGTCATGCAAACTTTTATGTATATATATATATATATATATACATTTTGAATATTTGTTATTATATATTTCCTTATCTAAGTTTTATGCTTTTAGCTAATACAACATATCTAAGTTTTAAGTTAACAATTCAATTTTTTTTTGGGGTTTTCAAAGACAGGGATTAGGGAATATGACATGCAAACACAAATATATGTGACTAGAACCGAGTGGGTCTGCTAGTAAGTAGAACCAAGATGAACTATTTTGGAATTAGTATTTTCAGCCCAACATATTCATTTATTTTAGCCCATGATCAAATCCCCAAATTGCTTTTTTGGGTTGATTTCAAAGTTTAATACTCCCTCTGTCCCATTTTATTAGATGTTTGGACTAAAAGCACAAAGATTAAGAAACAATAAATGTTTTCTCATTTATAAAATTTCAACCAATAGAAGAAGATACTGCATAATTAAAATAATTAAAATTTACTAAACTAATATAAATCATGCATTGAAAGTAGAGAAAATCTTATATAATGGAACAAATGAAAAGGCCTTAAACATCTAATAAAATGGAACAGAGGGAGTAATATTTTTGTGTTACTTCAATAATGATTTTGAGACCAAAAAAAAAGACGCTAATGATATATGAATTTTATTAATATGTTAAAATTTTATGAATCAAGTAAACAAGTAATCAACGAATTTTAGATAAAGGTCAAATATATTCCCAGAATCTTTAAAAATTATTGTAAAGGTAACAGTTTAAGAACGAACATCTTAGTTAATTATATATATATATATATATATATAAACCTTTTTCCCCTTTTTGTTTGAGGATGAAATGTTTTACAATGCAACATACTATTACATTAGTACACTATTAAAGTACAGTTGATTCTAAGAACTAGAACCAGTAAATATTTGTTTTCGTAAAATCATAATGTTTCATGCCACTAAATGATTATAGAAAGACAAAATGTTAACAAGTTTAGAATAGTTAACCCAAAACACTATCTTTATCAGCACGCAAGGTCTTTAGCTTCTCAGCTTCCAATTCAATCTTCAACTTCTCCACCATCTCTAGAAGCTCTTCTTCTCTGCTCTTCTCTTCCTTGTCTCCACTCAATGCTTCGATTATAATCGACACTCTCGCTCTTTGATGCTCTAAACTTTTCTTCAACACTTTCAGTTTCTCTAACACCAAATCTTTATCAAACCCCACAACCTCACCTTCTTGGTTCTTAGCTTCCTCGTTTGACAAACCTAAACCGAGTTCCGACCCGGTTATTGTGACGTTATCGTCTTCCTTTTTGTCTTCGATGTGATCTTCTTCACGTGGACTGGACTCAGAAGTATCTGAATCAGTAGCTGGGAACACTGGACTAAGTTGGAGATCGTCTTCACGGAAATTCCACCCACTGATTCTCCTGTTCTTCACTATCTCCTCATCTTCTTCTTCTTCATCATCATCATCTCCAACACTCTTCATCAAAATCTGGCTCTCTATAAACATCTGCTCTGCATTTGACAAGCTATGCAACACGTTCTTGACCACAAAGTCGAGTCCTTTACAGTTCTTGAAGAACGGATGCTTCAACAACTTCTCTGCAGATGGTCTTTTAGCAGGATCTTGCTCTAGACACAAACCAACCATTTCTCTAAAAGCTTTTGAGAACTTCTTGTTACCCTTTTTGCTGCTTCCGCTTGTATTGATCTCGTAATCAGCAAAATGAAACCTTTTGGTGATCTTCATGAGCAGACTCTTCAACGGCGGTAAGTGAGATAACGGAGGTCTCCCGTGTGCTAACTCCAAAGCCGTTATCCCGAATGACCAAATGTCTGCTTTGAAACCGTACCCTGTGTGAGAGTGAACCACTTCAGGAGCCATCCAATACGGTGTTCCCGCTATATCAGTTAACCTTAAAGACGAAGATGTTGTTCCAGAGGAGGATGTCACGGGTTCATAGATCGATGCGGATACTCCGAAATCAGCGAGCTTCACGGATCCATCAGAATCTACTAGAATGTTACCGGCCTTGATGTCCCGGTGCAAATGACCCTGATCGTGAAGATATGAGATTGCACTCAGAGTTTCCTTGAGGAAGACGGAAATGCAGTTTTCCGGTAAACCATTGGGGAAAGAAGAAGAGACAATGGAATGAAGAGAGCCACAAGACATGAAAGGCATAACCACCCAAAGACATCGATCAACGGTGAATGAACAATAAGCATTGAGGATATTCGGATGAGAAAGCAGAGACATCGTCTTGGTTTCACGGCGAAGACTGTCCAAATCAGCTCGAGACTGATCAAGATTAATGGCTTTGATGGCAACTACCATTGAGTTCATGGGAATGCATATGGCCTTGTAGACCGAAGCACTAACACCAATGCCTATCTTGCAGATGATCTCGTAGGCCTCAGCGTCAAGAGGGAATTCGATCTTGTTCCGAGCCATAAGAGAAAGAAGATGAGTACACTCTTGCTTATTAGATCGTTAGGTTTTTGGTGGAACTGTTGTCTTTTAGAGGCTAATAGCCTAATAGTAACATGAGGCTATTCATATAGGGATGAAAAAAGGAAAGAGTTGGTTTAACATGTGAACTTGAAAAAAAAACGAGAGCCTTAAATGTAAAAGCAGAAACCTTATCTCTTACTTACAAATATGTTGATGAAACAATAAGATGAAGCATGTGAAAGAGCTAACTAACTAACCTTAGTTAATGAGATTCTTACCTTTGGTCTTTTCAGGTACCCCAAAGGGCAAACACAATCATTCACCTTCAAACCGGTAAAGGTGCTTCAGTGCTTTACAGTTTACATAGCATACCCTATTCAAGTTAAGATCAACAGTAAAAGTTTACAAGTTAATATCACAAGGAGAGATGGCCAAATAGTACTCCACGGTTACAAGAATCGCATCGACTTCATAATATCAGTGATATAAGTCACTCCATGGTTACAAGAATACTTATGTAAGGAGAAGAGTGTGTAACTGCACTGCACAATTGCTTGATGTAACATATGAGCATTCTCGTGACATCAAAAGCAGCACAGGCTCGGGTTAGAAACAAGAACAAAATGGAGCTATCAATATCTCTTTCCTCATCTCCCAGAAATTTAAAGCTATAGTGAAATATTTAGATATCTAGACCCGTTGTACTATTTTTTTTTCATGGCATTTCTGAAGAACTTGCATTTGCCTTTGACCACATGAGAAGGTCACAAAGACTAGAGCAAAAAGACATCAGCCTTCTTGGCATTAGGTAAAATGAATGATCAACTATTCAAACATCAGTATGCTAAGATAAAATCACCAATGGAATAGGACTTGTATAATTCAAAACTGATATACGAGTCTCCAGCGATGTCCATGAAACGTACTATAAAATAGGCAAAAGTCTGAAACTTATGAAACCTACCTAAACATCAGCACTTAAACGTTTACTTTGTCTCACGCGCAAAGCAAATGCAAGTAAATCATTGCAGTGAAAACTCTAAGCAACACAGCCAAGCCCACAACATTAAGATCCACATCATAAGAAAACTTGTACCTATCAGTATGTGCTTCTTATTTCATGAAGTGAAGCTATACCAAACATAGGTGTCCACCATATCAGTTGCACATTTTTTCAATTCAACACACACACGCTTTATCTTGAACTCTTCTCTGCTCCGCGATATACTCACGAACTCTCTGAGTTTTACTTCGCATGGGCTCAATCATACTTTCTGTCTCGTGATTTATCTCTTTTGACAGATGACCCTCCAGAAAACTGAACAATGCTCCTAATGTCATCTTTCTTAGATCTGTATCAAGTTCATTGTTCATATCTTCTTCAACATGACAGCTTAAATCCTGCTCTCCAGCATCAGTATCCCCATCATCTTCGAAGCTCTTCAACGGCTTCTGCTCTACTCTCTTCTTCTTCCCTTTGTTCTTTCTGGCTCGGTTTAGAACCATTTCCAACTCCATATAAGAATCTCCAACAATTTCAATCTTCTTGCTTCTGGTAGCCCTTGTAATCCTTTTCTCCTTTAAAGTCTCTTCCTTCTCTACATTAACCAGGTTTTCTGCAATTCCAATGTTCTTGCTCCTTGTAGCCTTACTATTCACTCTCTCATCCACTACCCTCCCTGAATTTTCCTCTACCATTGCACAATCCTCAATTTCCACTTTAATTGAGTTCACACATAAACTCTGGATACTTTCAACATTAATAAAGTTTCCGTTTTTCTCTACCAGAAGTTCCCCTAATTTGTCAGATTCCTCAATCTTCCTAACTTTCCTAACCCTAGAACTCGGCTTATTCGCAATTTTCACATCCAAATTGCTACTTTCAGAAACCCTAATTCGCTTCCTCGCATTAGCCTGACGCCTATTGTTCCTCGGAGGCTTCTCCTCCAAAACATCATCAATCACAAAATTCACCACAATAGATGTATACTCACCGAATTCGATAACATAGCCATCTCCGAGATCCACCGGCGTCTCCGGATCAAGAGCATTCGAGTTCAATAAAGTACCGTTGGAAGATCCAAGATCTTGAATCACCCAATTCCCAGAAACCGATTCGATCCGAAGATGCTTAGTGGAGATTCCAGCATCTTTAATGGCGATCTCATTACCACGAACGACTCGACCAACACGAATCGTAGAACCGAGTTTGTACTCTAGTGTATCGCCTTCTCTTGGACCCTTGACGAATATTAGTCTCAACGTTGGCGTAACCATTGTTACCGTTTTCGAACCGTTGCGCTTGACCCAAATGGAAATTTTAAAATTATCGGTTAAAGCGTTTTTGGCACGTGTGAGATTTGTCGCACGCTCCATTCTAAATGGGCCTTAATGGGCTTTTACCGTCTTAACGATGACATATTTCATGGCTAAAAGCTATTGGCCTAACCACCGGCATTATTACCCCAACTTCCAGCAACACACGTGAATCTCTCAGCAAACTTATCTCTCCCTTATCCACTTTTTTCTATCTTTTTTTCTCCACGCTCCCTTACCCTCGCGTGTATCGCACCTCCTCATTTGGATATGCTCAGTGAAAATTCCTTTATATATTCGGAAATCAACCAAATTTAACCTTATTCGATAAATTAATTAGGTTCTTATCTCCTACAATTGTTGCAAATTAATAAACGAATAAATTTGAGTAAACGTGCTTCTAAGGCCATCCGCAGTGGGGCAAGCGTTCGGGTGTTAGTCGTCGGGTGTAGGTATTAAAAAAAAAAAAATTGTCTCTCTCTTCACACTCGGGTGTAAGTTTACACTTGGGTGTAAGAGACTCTCTCTCTGTCTCTCTCTTTCTTTCTCTCTCTCTTTTCTCTCTCACTTTAAATTATAATAATAAAAAAAATCTTACACCCCCCTCACACTTACACCACTGCGGATGGTCTAATGCTAAACAATAATTGATTCTTGAGTATATTCCTCTATGTAGTGAACACGACGCGCTTAGATCTGACGCGTGTGATATGAATTGTCAGTCAACGAAAGCGCCACGTCATCGCCACCGTGCTTGTTTCCTTATCATTTCCTTTCACCCGCCAACGTCGTTTCAAGCACAGCAAATAATATCAGATTTTTTTTTCTTCTGATTAATCAATTAATCACCAAACTCAATTAAATAAAAATAAATAAAAACAAATTATTATTATCCCTTCTTCTTCTTCTTCGTTTTCGTCTTCGTCTTCGATTTTTCTGATTCATGTCGTTTAAATTTTTGACGATCTCAGAATCCCATTTTCCTTCGGGAATCTGACATTTTCTCGTATCCAAATCGGAGACGTTAGAATCGCTATGGATGAGACATATTTTGATCTATTGAATTTCTTGAAGAATCCCTCTTTTACAGAGACATTTGTCGACATCTTACTATGTGCAGTTCCGATTTGGCTCGCCGTCATGATCGGGTTATTAATCGGATGGTCTTGGCGTCCTAGATGGACCGGTTTGATCTATTTAGGGTTTCGTTCTAAGCTTCGGTTTCTATGGACTGCACCTCCTGGATTTGGTGCTCGTAGGCTTTGGCTTGCTTTCACCGCTCTCTCTGCTTTCTCCGTTTGTCGCACCATCTGGTCAAGGAACGATACCAGAGCTAATAAATCGTCGACCGGTTCAGCTCCTGTGGAAGAGAGTGATGAATCAGGATTAGTCTCAAGGTTAGTTATTGAAAGATGTAGAATTTTAGTTCTCTGTTTTAACGTAACGTTTACTTTTAATTTAGCTTGATAAGGTATTTTGGTTTGCATTATCTTTTAGTATAGCAATGACATTGCCAAAAGAAATGATTTTTATTAATTGATTAGAATCTGAGGATAATTTGGTTATATTTGCAGAGGTAGCGATAACGCGATGGTGACAGAGGATATTGTGACAGAGAATGATTTAGAGCATCTGCTTCAGTTGCTTGAAGTTGGGAATGCAGCTATGGAATGGCAATCTATGATGGATAAGACTACTCCAAATATGAGCTATCAGGCTTGGCGTCATGAGCCTGAGGTAGTCTGAATTTTATACTCTTGCTTTGTATTTGTTTACCTGGTACGCTTGAATGATGTAGCTCAAGGAACAAGTCGAGTCATTGAGTAGTAGGCGGAAGAGTCGAAAAAATGAATTCTTTAGAGAAATTTCAATGACATTTGACATTGACAACTGCTTTTAGGTGTATTGGTAATTATGAGGGAGATATGTTTCCACGGATTGCTATAGACTATCAGTTTTTAGGTTTCTAGTAGTAGTCATTGTGTTTCTTTGTTTAGCTTTGGTTCCTTTTGGGCACGATCTGATGCGTTGTTGCATTTATTCCTTTGTGTGCCATTTTTATGACATTTTACTTGAAACTGTTTTCTTGCTATATAGAACTGGGGCATTCTTAGATACTAGATGATAGAAACATTTGATCAAATTGTGTTTTTAGTCTGAAAGGTTGTTTTGTTTATCAGACAGGTCCTGTTATTTATCGCAGTCGAACTGTGTTTGAGGATGCAACTCCAGATATTGTTAGGGATTTCTTCTGGGATGATGAGTTTCGACCTAAATGGGATTTTATGCTTGCCAACTTCAAAACCTTGGAGGAGGACACTCAGACAGGAACAATGATTGTTCAGTGGAGAAAAAAGGTCTCTGGACTTTTGATACTTCGGTCATCTTAATAGATAACTCCCACATTAAAAACTGTTGTCATTACTAAATTCTTTTGCTTGCAGTTTCCATTTTTCTGCAGCGACCGAGAGTATATCATTGGCCGGAGAATATGGGAGTCTGGAAAGAAGTATTACTGTGTGACAAAGGTAATGTCATATTACAATAACTTGTTTTTACCTTCCACGGATGAAAACGTGTAGCATTTATCTGTAGGGGAAAGAACACCAAAGTTTAGCTTTGAGAATTCTAAATGCCTGGAGATAATTCCGGAGATGGGACCATTGTTTATTAGTTTCCAGCTCTATTAAGTTTCATTGTCATCACTTTATCAGTTGAAAACATTGGTCAAAAAAAAAAAATCCAACATTCTGTTTCGCCTAAACCTCACATTAAGTTTTTATGCTGAAACAAAGCTCAAAGCTCAGAACTAAGGCGCTTATCTGATGGATATATCAAAGAAGATAAGCCCCTTAGTTCTGAAGATAAGCTCCTTATCCGTAAAATGCATAAGGTTATTCTTTGTTAGAGCTCTAAACAAAATCTCAAAGCAGAACTATACCTAACACCTGTTCAATATTGCAGGGAGTTCCTTATCCAGCTCTACCAAAGCGTGATAAGCCGAGGCGTGTTGAGCTTTATTTCTCAAGTTGGGTTATCAGAGCAGGTAAGCCTTTTGATTTGCAAGTCTTTTCTTCTTCTTTAAAAGCTGTCATAGAATTTGATTTTAAATCAAATATAAAACAAATGCAGTTGAATCCCGAAAAGGCGATGGACTAACAGCTTGTGAAGTATCCTTAGTCCACTACGAAGACATGGGAATCCCAAAAGACGTAGCAAAGTTAGGTGTCCGTCATGGCATGTGGGGAGCTGTCAAGAAGCTAAACTCCGGTTTACGAGCATACCAATTCGCCAGAAAATCAGACTCATCTCTATCCCGGATCGCCCAAATGGCAAGAATCACTACAAAACTGAACATGGATTCTGCAGAATCATCTTCAAGAGATGAAGACAGAAGCAGAGCAATGGACTATGCAAGGAGACAACGCGACCATTTGAGAATGGACTGGAAATGGGTTGTTGTAGGAGGTGTCGCATTGGCTTGTGGTCTTCACACTGGGATCATTGGTAAGGCTTTACTGGCTGGAGCTGGCCAGAGACTGGCTCGTAGGTGAAAAAACCTTGTCGTATTCTTTTTATATCTTCCCTTGACAGAAAAGAGAAACATATACCTATAACTAAGGGAAATGTATTCTTCTTGCAACTCCTATGAGAAGGGCATGTGGTTTTGACGGTGAACCATGTAGAGTAGTAGTTTTAAACTATGGAGTCTAAGTTATTTGAGTTCTATCTTGTTACACAGGATAGTGAGATATGTATTTTATAAACTATATGAATCTACATAGCTTCTAAAAGCTTAAAATCTTTGCATGTGGTACACTTAGTATCTCCCATTGCATTGATCAACCAAGAACAAGATGTCAAAACTTATCCCCTGCATCAATTCACTGCACAGTGCACACCAGCCGTTCTTTATTACCACTATGGTTGCACATGAAGTTCCTCGTTCTGCAGATCTACAAAGGTTGTTTCTGGTGTTATGGAGGATGCAGAATCATCGCCAAACTCTCTGTCTGATTCGTCTGAATCCCAGAGTTCATCATCAGAACCAAATCCAACATCTGTTTCAGATAGTGAACCCTTGGCCTGAATCTCACCTTCTTCACCATCTTCTCCCTCGTCTTCGTATGTATCTAAATACATGTCATCTTCCTCTCCCTACACCAACCAAAAGAGAACAAACGAATATGAGAGACCTCAAACACAAAATTCATGATGGTTAAAATTCAAGAAAATAAAGAGAGATTATAAGGCAGAAACATCATACATCTGTTTCTTCAATCTCCTCATCAGAAGAATAAGCCATGTCAAGCTTGTCGTATAACGCTTCATCTCCCTTGTCTTTTACAAGTTCCACTTGTTCCTGACAGAGTGAATTCAGGGCCTTGGGTTAGCAAACATTGAAGAACAAGAGAATGCGTTCTTTGTTTGATCAGTAAATGATACAGATAAATGGAACCATACAATTTCAGCTCTCAGCTGCTCTGATCTAGTCTGTACCGCTTCAATGTGTTTAATAAGAGCCTGTTGAATGCAAAGTATCCAAATAAGAAAGCAAAATAAGTGTTAGCCGTTGAGCTTTATAACTTGATTAAACTCAGATGTTGGCCATAAAAAGTAGAAATCAATGATAAGTTTGCAGATGTTGAGATCAACAAACGTTGTTGCATATTTTGATCACGAACCTCGCGTTTTTGGAGCTCAAGAGAACGTGCCAAAGCTTTCCTCTTTGTCAAGAGGTTTTTAGGCCTCAACGTGGTAGGACGCTTATAGTCTTTTCCTCTATACACGATTACGGCATAGCCTTTGGAAATTTTGTCAACAGAAACCAGGATACCTCCACTCTCGGCTTCAAGGGCCATTGCCACTTTCTTCGCACCCTCTAAACTTTTAGCCTTTACAAGAATCTTGATCAGCTCCCGATATTTCCAGTGCAAGTGCATGTTCTCTACAGTACCATCAAATACCCCCCTTCGACCTGAAGCAATCAATTCAAGTTTCTCAGACGAGTCCATATCCAGAGAACACAGGTCAAACATACCTACATCAGCCTACACATTGGTAAAAAGATGGTTTACCAAGAAGTAAGAAAGCTTTCATCTTCAATCCGAGCTTTTGGAACATAAATCTCTCTTCCTCAGTTATGCCCTCAAGGTCTGTTCTCTGCTCTGCTGGCTTCAGAGATTCCTCCACCTTAGCTAAAGCCCGTTCAGCTTTCAGCAGCTTCTTCTCAGCCTAGCAAAGTTAATTGAAAAGTAATAATCCGCTTAGTTCCAGGAGCAATCTCTTAATTCGATATGTGAATATAATTTGACAGGTAGGAAGTATAGTGTCAAGTCAGGAACTCACAAAAGCAAGTTTCCTTTCCAACTTCCTGACAAGTTTTGCAGATCTCACTTTCTCAACCTCTTGTTTCATTTCCTCCACATGATCATCGTTATCCAGATTCTTTCCCCACTTACCAGTTGCATCAAGAGTTTCTCCAAGAGTACCAGCAGAAACAAGATTTTGATTAGCTTTAGTACTTGGGACAACAAGAGCCGATGGACGTGCCTGTTCCTCTTCGTCTTGCGAAGTTCTTGCAAGGTTTTGATTAGCTTTTATACTTGGGACAACCAGAGCCGATGATGCTCTTAGACGTGCTTGCTCCTCTTCGTCTTGCAAAGTCCTTACAAGCCTCTCCTTCTCCATTAATGCTTCAGCTACTTCTGGTGACAAAAAACTCTTCCCTCTGTAGAAAACCAAGAAGTCCTTGTTCCTCGAGAGAAGCATACCTCCCGTCAATCTCTGCAGTCACTTACCAAGATCATGATATCAAACATTCAGCATTAAATATACACACCTTCTAATTCATTCTAATGATATCTACATTAAACAATTAAATGTTACTCGGATGTGAATCCTTATTACCTTGATGTCCTCAGCCATTCTCTCACTGGTAGTCAGTTGTACACCACGTTTAAGGGCAACCTTGGCAATCAAACTCTTTTGCCATAACTTAACCATGGCTGTTGCCAACCCTTGTAGCTGTCTACTTCGACCTGTACATCAAAAGAAAATCTCACTCTTCAAAGACCTTAGTAGGCTCTACAAAAAGTCATAAAGGAAATCCAATACCTAAAGCAAAGTGTGGAGGAAGAACTGTGGCAATTCTTCTTAAAGAGGTTGCCTCCTTTGTTCCCAGAGTTGATCTCACTCCATAAGGAAGTACCCTAAAAGGGGGTTCGTAACCAGGAACGATCCCTGGAAGCAAATCAGCATCAACAGGTAACGGATAACCTCCCTGCCAGTCCGTGTACCGAGGACCAAGACCCTCTAACAGTTCATTTATTTCATCTTCATATTCTACTTCTTGTGGAGATGTCCTGTCTTTATTTCCCACAACCGTTGGCTCCTTCTCTAGCTGAGGAAGATGCACTAGTTGAACACTTTGATCCACTGTACTTGTACTTGTAGGTAAGGAAGATGGCAATGTCTCTGCTCTTCGGTATATTTGCTTGTTCATGTGCCCTGATCCATTCCTGTTGCTGACACCTTTGTAATTGTACAAGGCGATGGAAGTCCCTGACCTCCAAATCACCAAACCACCAGTTTTTCTCTGCCACAGTGAAGATATAACTAGTATTACACTTGACCATGTAAAAGAAAGGACATTAGAAACAAAAGAATACTTTTCAATTCGTTTTACTTATCACTTTCAAAACTCCAAAGTTCAGTTACTGCTTTCGTTTTGAACATGAACTTTAATAAAAACACTGATTGGGGACTCATTAGAAGTAAAACCTCTAATATCTCATGCATCCTTCTCATGTTGAGCGCACTTGCTCCTTCAATCTTAAGTCTCACAATCTCTGAGCTCTTCCACTTCTCCTGAATTGCATCTACCACAGCCTGAGTAACACCTGCACCCGTAACTCTCATCTTACTCTTTGTTCGAAACATCACATTCCTCAACCGATTCAGCTCAGATTCCGAAAGAGTCCTCTCTGCCAACGAGTATCTACTCTCCTTCTTCGCTGTCCACTCTCCATTTACTAACTCCTTCTTCTCCATAGAACTCACCTTCTCCCAAGGAAACTTAACTTCATCATTCCCTCCAAACACACCAAATGGTGATTCCTCCGAGAATCCACCTCTTCCTTCTTTAACATAGAATCGATCCTCCACCGCCCTTTCCTCAATCCTTCTCTCTTGTTCAACTTCCTTATCCTGAAACTGATCATCATCCACAAATCCATACTTTTTCAACTTCTCAACAATCTTCTCCATTGTACTTCCACCACCACCAATATCACTAATTTGACTACTGTTCTCACCACTAATAACCCCTGAATCCGAATACCTCTCTTCTTTTCGACGATTTAACACTACCTTTGAAGGTCTAAATTGATTCTGCCTCTGGTTTCTATTCCAATTCTCATTCCTACTGCTACTACTACTACCACCTTCACAAGATAATCGTTTAACCTTTTTCATAGGAGAGAAACCGAATTTATAGGACCTGAGTGAAATTGATGAACTTTTCCCATGGAACTTGCAGAAGGAACTTCCCAACGAATCTAAAAACTTCGCCGAAGTAGTCGTCGTCGTTGTCGGGCAAAAATGGCGACTTGAATTCATCGTCATTTCTGACACAAAATACTCTGAATTGGGTACTCACAGAAAAACGATTCCGTAAAGATACAACAAAAAGTTTTGACCTTTGATTCCTTCAGCTACGATATGAAGCTCCTGACTGTGTTATCCATGGCGGGGAAAGATGTTCGAGATGATTAGAGGGTTGTTTGGATACATGGTTTATTGTAACCAGGCCAAAAACAACACATAGGGCGCATTATAGAAAAACATAACTGAGTATAGCTAAAATGTGCCTTAAATGCGCATCTTATCATAAATAAAGAGATTTCAGTAACATGCGCCTTATGACCGGATCCATCTTTTACAGTCAAAACCAGTTATGCAGTGCAGAGTAGAAAATAGAAATGTTTTGCGTGTGCCTTCTCTTTACCCGTACGATTCTTCGGGCTCTATGAGATATCGAATTTTCTTCTCAAGGTTAGATTTTTCGTTTGCTACTAAATTTTGCAAAAATTCTCCATTTTTGTTGTTGTTGTTGAAGATTTCGTTACGCGTGCAAAGTTTCCTTTTTTTTTTCCTTCAGGGTGATGAAATTGGAACTTGTAAACACTTTGATGATTAATTGATGTCTAATTTTATGATGAAAAGGTGAAAATTTTTGGTGATAAAGGGTATGGAATTTGATTTGGGTTTATCATGTTTTTGAAAAACAGAGAGGGAAAAAAATGAAGACTTTTGATTTTTACGATGTTGGGTTTCACTGTAAATGAAGTTCTAATGGCGGAGTAGTAAGATGGACCATTTACTGTTGTAGTGTTTTTTCTTCAAATGGTTGTTTGTCTAAAATGGCAATTAATATCAAAAAGAGCTTTCTTTTGAGTTTTTTTGGAGATCAGACAGTTACATATGTTTCTGTAGCTAGTTAGTGTCGGAATCATAGATAAATGCCTATTTCTCTTGAAGGTTTTCTTGTGAAGGGAAAAAGGAATCATCTTGTATCTTTCTTAAGATCACTTAAGAGTGTGTGATCTTCTCAGAAATTATTGACCTCTCTAGTCTTGTTGCTGCAGTTTCAGTGTTTGTTTTTTTGTGTAATGTAAATTAGCAGTTTCAGTTTTGAGTACTTTGTTCTTAGTTTCATCTCTTGGTTTATTTCTTTTCTCTGATGTAGAATGTGAGCTGATCAGTAATTAAGTTCTTCTTATGCAGGTACCATATAAGGTAAAATGCTATTAGTTCAACTTACTTAGCCATCATAACATTTGGTATCTGCGGTTGTTTTAAACACTATGTTTTCTCTATGACCTGTGTTTTTACTGATTTATAATGCTTGATGGTTATCATTTACACTTTGGGACTCATTTTGGGTTGCAGATTTTATGGTTCATCTTTGAACTTAGAATCTTTTGTGTGTTTTTTTTTCAGGTGACGATAAACCAGATGTTTTCAGAAGTAGAAATGGCTCGGGATGTGGCTATATGTGCCAATCACTTGAATGGCCAAGCGCCCCACCATCAGATTCTAGGCAGACTACTCAAAGATCTAATACACGAGAAAGCATGCAGGGAACACGGATTCTATCTCGGTATCACCGCTCTGAAAAGCATCGGTAACAACAAGAACAACAATGACGAGAACGAAGACAATCATCAAGCACACATCCTCACATTCCCGGTGTCTTTCACATGCCGCACATTCTTGCCTGCAAGAGGAGATATCTTGCAAGGGACTGTTAAAAAAGTGTTGTGGAACGGAGCTTTTATCAGGTCAGGACCACTCAGATACGCATACCTCTCGTTCATGAAAATGCCGGATTACCATTATGTCCACTCACCATTGTCGGAGGACGAGAAGCCGTATTTTCAGAAAGACGATCTCTCAAAGATTGCTGTTGGAGTTGTTGTGCGGTTTGGGGTGTTGGCTGTGCGGTTTAAGGAGAAGCCACACAAGAGAAGAAACGACTATTATGTTCTTGCGACTTTGGAACGCAACGATTCCTTTGGTCCCATCTCTCTTACAGGGTCGGATGAGCCATACATGTAATTTGCTGTAACCCAACCATTATGCCATAGTTGAAGTCTTTAGATACCTTTTTCGTGTTTAGTACATTCATATAGGTGAACGATGGTTTTTACTTACCAAATCTAATGCTTCTGCAATACTGCAAAGAGGCTTTGATAGAGAGACTTGTAGTTCTTGGCAGTGATTTTTGCTTCAAACCTTATCATTAAGCCAAACCAAAACAGAGTTGAGTTCAATCAATTTCCATGAAAGTATATGGAAACTTGTCGAAGTCAAACCGGATCGACAAGAAATATCTCTAATCAAAGTTAACAGACCAAGCTTGGTTATGATGCATACATAAAACATATAAGAAAATAAGTTGACTCACTAATTTCAAACTGCATCAATAGTGTTTATGTATGTATTGAAAAAGATTTGGATTTTTCAATCACCATCGAGACATCTTCCATCTCCGAATTCATCAAAAGACTAGTTTCAGCAGTCTCTGGATGCTCTTGAGTGCTCTCGTAATCGCCATCGAACAAACTCTCAAAATCTATGATTTGAACAAGATCCATCGCTTGATCATCCAACTTTGGTGTAGATTTGTCTGTACTTTCAGAAATCTCCAAGAATTGATCATCGAATACAACCATCTCTGTTTCTGTTTTGAGACAATCATCAAGAATGCCAAAAGTTTCCGAACTAAACTGAAGATTTAGGGTTTCGTGTGAAACAAGATTCGTCATCTTGATGTCGTTGTTCTTCACATCGTCTTGATGATCTCTTTGATAATTATTCCCTGAATCCAAACGCAGTTCCTTCAGATCTCTCAACATCTTAGACATCGAGTCAATCGCTTTTCTCAACTCTTCCAAATCCTCCGATTTGGCAAGACTCTCATCTTCCTACCAAAACCCTAACCCTAGATTCTCTTCACGAACAAGATTCTTCTGATCCTTGAGGAAAGCGGCAACAACACCATCAACAGAGGAGTGACCAAAGGAGTAGAAAGAGACGTTGGAGTCGTCAAGATCGCAATTTGTGCATCGGAGTGAAGACAAAGCTCAGAGGCTCTACAATAAAGACCAATACGGCGTTTGGAGAAACAAACGGCTCGTGACTCTTTCTTCTCAATCTTCTCTATCGGAATTTTCCTCTTCGGTCCTCCCATTCCGTTTTCTTTAACTTCACAGAGATTTTGAGGGACACACTATAGGGTACGTAACTAATTAAGAAGAAAACAAATTAAGTTTTTTTTAATATACAATGTAAAAACCAACAAATTTCTCATCATTTAAAAATGAACATACAACTAGGTTAATTATGAACTTCTGCATGATTTTGCTGAAGATTTTATTTTGATGAAAATATTGGATTTTATAAGTCTTATATCCATCAAAAATGATCAGAAGATTTGATAGTTGATTTACCGCGACAATAATCTATACTCCAATCTAGAGCTGAGCTGATTAATAACTCTTTGAATATCTATCTATTCTTTTTATTCAAATACCATATTAAATGTTGGTGGTCTGTTTTACTTGTAGCCATCTCGTGCTCTCTATTATGCTAATCTATTGTACTAATCTCGACAAAGTCTTAACACCCTATTTATACACAATAGGTTGTTGCCATACAAACCAAATTTCTATTATATAGATCAAAATGGAAACTGCCAAGTTTTATTTTCTCTTTATGGAAAAAGAAAACGCTTATCATGTTTCTTTTTCTTACTAAAAGAAAACTCTTCAAAACTTTCAGAATGTTTTCCAAGTTTTCAGCTCAGCAACCCCCTCTTGGTTCGTCTATTGACATTTAATTTCCAACTCCACTTCATCGGTTTCTTCAGCTTCACTTCATGTATCACTTCTTGTACTAATCCATGTACTACTTCACGACTGATACATGAACGCTTCAAACAGTTGTATATTTATAGCTTATAAAAATCGGTCTTCATAACATCAACATAGTCATCTTTCTCCTCTTTTATTTCCGTCAACTTGTGAATCTCGTATCGTACGTCTTCACGAAACATGTGAGCATTAACAAAATCGAAGTCAACTTGAAAATGTTGTAGCAATTCATAGGAGGAGATATGTATGATATGTTTTAAAGCTTTTGGAATGATGAACAATTCATGAAAATTGTGGACATTATGGCTTGGAGAAGCCACATCAATCAAAGAAGATGAAACCAAATTTGTCTATTCAATCGGAGAAGATGATATAATATGAATCAATTAACACAAACGGAAAACAAATACTTGAAATCCCTTTAATTTTGTTAACTTTGTCATTGTTTAACAATTGGAACTTGAGAAGCTTATAATCTCATCAAAATCACATCTCGATATGTAACTCACCACCCTCACTTCTCACCGCCCGTCTAAACTGTCATAGTCGCCGACTCATCGGAGCTCACTATCGTACTACCTTTGGCACTCAAGATCTTGCCGTCGTCTTCTTGCGTCTTGTTTCATCCGGAGTTCTAAGCTACTGTCCTTTCTTCTCACCAACATCCAAGGGGTTTTCATCAACGGAGTTCCTCATCATCGTTGTCGTTTGTAAGTCCATGCTGAGACGATTTAGCAATTTTATTTTATTAAAATTTTGAGTTCAGCTGTGTGAGAAACTGAGAATAGAATCGTCTTGCAAGGAAGAAGTGCCTATCTGCGTAAACCCTTTATGAATGTGCCATATCGTAAAAAATTTCTTCTATATTATTTCCAAACAATTAGAACATCTTCATTGTTAAGAACCCTATTGGGTTGATAAAATATACTATTTTATTGATCTAAACTATTTCTTTAAATTTTAATTCATAAAAAAATAAGTTAAAACTATCATACGATGACAAGTGTTAAATAAGTATCTAAAAGAGTTTTCAAAAGTTTGCATTTGAGAAAAGTTTTTTTTTTTTGACATCAAATACTCCATTATATTAAAGTATCGGAAAATAAACTCTCCTCTAGGAAGATCCAATCAAAAACCGATGAACTTACATGGAGTGAAATATGTCTACGGGTTTTTGTCCTACCTAAACAACCAACCCGGACATTGTTACATAGTAGAACATGACAAAAGCTAAAAGATAGAAAAGAGGATCTAAAGATCCCAACAATAGTGAATCCCACCATGAAGATAGGTCACTCGAGATACCAGTAGGCAAATCGATGATAGGTTGCCAACCACCGTGAGGTACATTGCCACACGAAAAACTGAACTTTTTTTGTAGTTCTAAGTCTCCTATTTTATCATTATTTTAAATTTTTAATGGGTGAGAACTCCATCAAAATACTTTTGATGGAGGTGCTCTTAACTCATAAAACTACATAAAAGAGAAATAGAAATGTGACTTTCTACCTCATTCTCTTCACCAAGAAGATCAAGAAATCCCTCACATTCCTTTCCTCTCTTGTTTAGGAAAAGAGTATTTTGTCAACATATGCAAGGTCTACTTGAGACACGAGCTCTAAAACCTTAGATGGAATGCTTTAATTTGTCAGGTTTCTCAGTTAAGAAAAAGAACTTGTTGGAGTTGTTTTGAAATCTACGAGAAAATAAGTTAAAGAATACGTCTCTCTAGGCATCTCCAGGCATATCGCTTTAGTGTGTCCTGTTTTTGATGTTCTAGTTTAGTGTTTGCCTTGGTATGCTTCTGCCCTTACTTTTGATCTCTTGTGTCAGCTAAGTGGTAGTTAGTGTCTCGTGAAACTTCAGTTAAGGGGTGTGTCTTTTTCTGCGATTGATCTTTGCGTTTGGAGGTGTTAGTAAGGCTTTTAGAGGATGTGATGTTGCTAGGCTCCGTGCTAATGACATCAGGAGAATCTTGGTAGAGTGAGAAAGCATTAACTTCCGCTTTTCGCCCGTATAGCTCTGTCTCAGTTTGTTTCGGTCCATCGTTGAAAGGACTTCCTTTGCGCTCTATTGTCGATCAATAGTTTAGACCGTTCGCTTTGCTGCTCTAGTTTGTTGTCACTTTCTCACTTAGGGGAGTCTTTAGATCGAGTTCTCTTCATCTTCTTACTAAGAGCCTCGTCGCTTAAGGTTTAGTTGATGCGATAGATCTCAAATGGTTTATGCTTCCATATTTTTACCTTTTTTGGCATGAGACTATGTTTGTAGGATTTGCTTCATGTAAATCCTAAACTTTCATTTTATATAATATTTACATTCTTAGCAAAAAAGAATATGTCTCTCTATTTCTAACTTGGGTACGTCTCTAAGAAAATTCATTCTCAAACAATCCACAATCAAGAGTTGGATAGTGGAAAACAGTCCATGAAGCATTTTGCCAGTACTAGACCCTATTTAAACATGTGTGCATTATAGAAAAAGGAAAACCAATAAGCTGATATGTTGTGATAAACCAAAATACTGTACATATATAACCAGAACTCAAATCTTTATCATAAAGGCAAACCGAAAAAACAGAACCGGTTATTATCAAGTCTTTCTCTTCTCTATCCAAATAACATCCACTTGTACCAATCTTATCGACAAACAATCGACCAATAACTACCCACGTGTCATCACGATACGATTATTATCCTCTCTGATCCAACGGACCCAAAACATCTCTCTCTCTTTCTCTACCTTTTGTCTCCTCGATCTAAAATGGCGGATTCGGACAACGATTCAGGAGGACACAAAGACGGTGGAAATGCTTCAACACGTGAGCAAGATAGGTTTCTACCGATCGCTAACGTTAGCAGGATCATGAAGAAAGCACTTCCGGCGAACGCAAAAATCTCCAAGGACGCTAAAGAAACGGTTCAAGAGTGTGTATCTGAATTCATAAGTTTCATCACCGGTGAAGCTTCTGACAAGTGTCAAAGAGAGAAGAGGAAGACAATCAACGGTGACGATCTTCTTTGGGCGATGACTACGCTAGGGTTTGAGGATTACGTGGAGCCTCTAAAGGTTTATCTGCAAAAGTATAGGGAGGTGGAAGGAGAGAAGACTACTATGGCCGGTAGACAAGGCGATAAGGACGGTGGAGGAGGCGGTGGAGGAGCTGGAAGTGGAAGTGGAGGAGCTCCGATGTACGGTGGTGGTATGGTGACTACGATGGGGCATCAATTTTCCCATCATTTTTCTTAATTTGTTAATTGTAAAATGATATAAGCAAATTTTCATTTTTATTAATTAATGATATATATGTTTAACTTTTAGTATACTTTTAACAGATTTTTTTTTTTTAATTGAAGTAGGTTCAACCCACTAACAAAATAAATATTAAATTTATGATTCGTAAGGTTAGGGTGTTACTCGTGAATGATTAAAGTAACAAAATTAACTAGGATGTCGAAGTTTATGGTGGAATTAGTAGGGAAAATCAAATGAGAGTGACACATTTTTTTAAAGTAAAAGTTTCCTAAGAATTTGTAGTGGGAAATCTACTTTAAGTTAATGTTTAAGAAAGTCGGATTAGATGGTGTTTACGATAAGCGGACTTTCACAATAATGATGATTATATTTTTTCTAATATTTCATAGCCAAAAAACCAATTAATTTTTTACTTATTAAAATCGAATCAGAAGAAAAGGTTAATTTTATTTAATATATCTTTTGTGTTTGTTTTCAACTTATATAAACCCTAATATTTTCTCATCTCTATCTTTCATTACTGTTAGATCAACTTTACAAAGATAATATCCAAAGTCATCCAAATAGAAAGAGATACATATATTAATGACTACATAAAACTATATGACCAAAGAAGTAAACTAAAACAAAAGTAAATTAACACAATATATGCTTTCATGTGGAAGACCTTACTCGTTAAAAGCAGATCCATTATATTGTTATTATTTTTGTAATCGACATCAAAGTGATACAATATTTAGCTATCATGGTTAATATGGGATCTTTTATTTTTCGTACGTCTTCCTAATCGACATCAAACTGATGCAATTTTTGGCTAATCGACCTAATGAAAACTCCAACATTTTAGTCGTATAGCAAACTTCACTGCTTTGCTCGATAAGCCTAATGTTCTCACAAACCAATACCACAATGAAAGGATATCTCATAGGTTCCCTCACCAAAGATGCATGCAGTTTCTCGTGTCATAATTAACACACTCGATCGACCATGGTTTCTTGAAACCAACATTTTTCTCCTTGTGAGATGTAACATTGCAATTCAATTAAAAAATTATGTGAGAGAAAACACTTATAAACGACTTTTTGAAGATTCCTTTAGAGCGAATTAGTTAGAAGCCGTAATTTATTGTAGTTATTTTGTTTCTAAATCATGTTATTTCATTAATTTATGTCATATTATATATAATATATCAAAAGAGGCATATGACTGTTTGTGTAAAAAACAGGAGATAAACCTTACTAGTCCAACAACGCAGACAATGCAGGATGAAATAGAGGCATATAACAGATGGGTGAAAGTGGCGAGCTTAGAGGAGAAATTTTTGAAGCAGAGATCCAAGCTCCATTGGTTGGAGATCGGGGACCAGAATAACAAAGCTTTTCACAGGGCGATTCTGACACGACTTACGCAAAATACTATCCGTGAAATTCAAAGGCAGGATGGAAGTGTCACGAAGGATAAAGAGGAAATCAAAGCAGAGGCTGAGAGATTTTTTCGAGAATTTCTACAACTCATTCCTAATGACTATGAGGGAGCAACGGAGGATGAATTGAAAACGTTGCTGTCTTTTAGATGCTCATCGGAGGAACAGGGAATGCTTACTAGTGAGGTCACTAAGGAAGAGATAAAAGGAGTTCTGTTTGCCATGCCAAAAGATAAGTCACCGGGTCCAGATGGGTTTACTACTGAATTTTATACTGCAGCCTGGGATATAATTGGAGAAGAGTTTGTCTTAGCGGTCAAATCTTTCTTTGAGAAGGGTTTTTTACCAAAAGGAGTCAATTCTACAATCCTTGCGCTCATTCCCAAGAAGTTGGAGGTGAAAGAAATGAAAGATTACAGGCCAATATCGTGTTGCAATGTGATCTATAAAGTCATTTCAAAAATTCTTGCTAATAGACTCAAAAAGCTGCTACCAAAATTCATCGCTGGGAATCAATCGGCGTTCGTACAAGATAGACTCTTGATAGAGAATCTACTTTTGGCAACGGAGCTGGTTAAAGACTACCACAAAGACTCAATTTCGGGTCGTTGTGCCATAAAAATAGACATCTCAAAAGCTTTTGATTCTGTTCAATGGTCTTTTCTAAAGAATGTTCTTTCTGCAATGAATTTCCCTCAAGAGTTTGTGCACTGGATTATGCTTTGTATCACTTCAGCCTCATTTTCGGTTCAAGTAAATGGGGAACTAGCAGGCTATTTTCAGAGTTCTAGAGGTTTGCGACAAGGTTGTTCACTCTCCCCTTATCTTTTTGTCATAAGCATGGATGTTCTTTCTCGAATGTTGGATAAAGCTGCTGCGGCTAGACAGTTCGGTTTCCATCCAAAATGTAAGCATCTTGGTCTAACACATCTTAGCTTCGCGGATGATATCATGGTACTTTCAGATGGTAAAGTAAGATCCATAGAAGGGATAGTGCAGGGTTTTGATGAGTTTGCCAAAAAATCTGGTTTGAGAATTAGTATGGAGAAGTTAACCATCTACATGGCAGGACAACTAAATACATCTCACCTAGATATTCAAGACCAGTTTCACTTTGAGGTTGGTAGTCTCCCAGTACGATACTTAGGCCTTCCCTTACTCACAAAACGTCTCTCCGCTGCAGATTACAGCCCTCTTATAGAGCAAATTAAAAAGAAAATCAGCTCTTGGACAGCACGGTATCTGTCGTATGCAGGGCGTCTCAACTTGATCAGCTCAGTCATTTGGAGTTTATGCAATTTTTGGTTATCCGCTTTTCGACTACCAAGAGAGTGCATACGGGAAATTGAAAAACTTTGCTCATCTTTTCTCTGGTCTGGGACAGAACTGAACTCACGTAAAGCCAAAGTAGCCTGGAATGATATATGTAAGCCCAAAACAGAGGGGGGGCTTGGATTAAGATCTTTAAAGGAAGCAAATGATGTATGCTGCCTAAAGCTTATATGGAAAATCGTCTCGCACGGGAATTCACTATGGGTCAAATGGATAGAGAAGTATTTGCTAAAGAAAGAAACATACTGGTCTACTAAGGAGAACACAACAATGGGCTCTTGGATGTGGAAGAAATTACTAAAATTCAGAGCATTGGCAACAAATTTCTGTAAGGTGGAAGTGAACAATGGCTTAAGTACATCATTTTGGTTTGAAGACTGGTCAAGCATGGGCCGGCTGCTGGGAGTAGTGGGAGAAAGAGGTATGATTGATATGTGTATAAGCAGAAATAAGACAGTGGCTGAAGCTTGGGAGGGTCGACGCCGTCGTCGACATCGGTCCGGTCTGCTAAATCAAATGGAAGAAGAGTTGGAAACTAAAAAACAGAACAGAAATGATAAAGAGGACACAGTTCTATGGAGAGGTAAAAATGATGTATACAAAGCTAGCTTTTCAACAAAAGACACATGGCACATGACTCGCACTGCGGTAACCAAGGTCAGTTGGCACAAAGGAGTTTGGTTTATCTATGGAACGCCAAAGTTCTCTTTCTGTGTTTGGCTGGCTGCTTGGAATCGTCTCTCCACCGGAGACAGAATGCTTCAATGGAACAGAGGTGCGTCGGCGACTTGTTGTTTCTGCAACACTGTTACAGAAACCCGTGATCATTTATTTTTTGCGTGTGGTTTCATCTCTCCAATCTGGGAAGCTCTAACGCGAAAACTCTACAAATCTCGATTCTCTTACGACTGGCACTCTCTCCTTAACACTATCTCGGCAGGTTGGCACGATCGAACAGAGAGCTTTGTAGCTCGCTATGTCTTTCAAGCCACCCTCTACACCATCTGGCGGGAAAGAAACGGAAGAAAACATGGTGAAACACCGAACCCAGCTCCTCTCTTAATCAAATGGATTGACAGGCAAGTGCGAAATAGATTATCCTCAATTCGGAAAATAGGGGATAAACGTTTCGACAATGGCCTCCAGGTCTGGTTCCAAGCTAGAAGTTAAACCTATCATAATTCAATCTTATTCTCCTTTCAGCTCACGTTTAAGCTAAAGTTGCACTTGTTGTAAAAAAGACATTTTTTCTTTTGAATTTAATTTAACATTTGATTCAAAAAAAAAATATATATATATCAATTTATTCTATAAATATCTAAATCGCTTTAAATCATTTAAAAATGAATTAGAAATTTTAAGCGTTAAGTAGTGGATCGATGTCTGCCTGACATTTTTGTTGAAATTTACTTTTTGTAGTAATAGTGAGTATAACTATTTTTTTAAATCTTCAATGTGATTGGTACAAACCTATAGTAACCCATGGGTTAAATGTTAACAATTTGTCACATTAATTTTTTTTTTCTAAAATAAACATTTCTTTGTTTTTAGCTCATCATCCACATCATCTTGATAGTATCATCATGCCATAATTTTCACCATGATATCATCATCAATTCATCATCAACTTAATAATTTGATATTATCAACACACTATCATATCATCATCATCATCATCATCATGATCATCATCATCAAAATTATCATCATGAGATATCAACTCTCATTATAAGATTTCAATATTTGGGGATTTGATAATCTAAAAAAATATATAATAAAAATTAGTTTTTGGTTAATGTTATTTCGTGACTTCCGCTTGTGCTATCATCACAAGTATACTAGAATATACTATATATGTCATCTTTAATGTATATTTTAAAATTTTTAAGACATAGTTAATAACATTATACGACCTAAATAAAGCTTTTTGGCATATTTCGTCATTAGAGGCATCAGGATTAAAAGAGTCATTGAAAAAAAAATTCTACTTTGATGCAGGGAACATGAGATGTGTAATTGAGGGCTTATCTAAAACTTAACCATCTTGTTCCTTCAAAGTGTTGTGATGCGACAAATTCATGTTTGAGTCTAGGTTTTTAAGAGCTTGGGTTTTCCATTAATACATGTGATGAGACAAGTACTCAAGAATTTTTTTCTTACAAGCATTACTGAAATATCAAAAATAAGTTTATATCAAATAATAAAATGAATCAATCCAGTAAAATCAGGAAAAAAAAAAGAATTATCAACAGATACCATAAAAAATAACAAATTGTTTTTTTTTTGTCAAGCAAACTGTATTCAACATAGAATTCCATATTAAAGAAGATCATACGATGCGGAATTAAAGACAAAATTGAATCAATACATTGAAAATAAAGACAAAAGCTTGAAATTGATCTAATGGGAAGCTCCGACGACCTGGATAGCTTGCAACTAAATGAATAATACTAATCTTCATGATGGACTCCACATTGAAGACTAACTTCAAAAGATTTAAGACCAATGTGGAGTCCGTCATCGAAGAATGAAGACCACTTGCACATAGAATTTTTGTACAGCTAGTGCTTTATCCATCGAAGCAGAGCTTTCAATAAATCACTCTAAAAAAAAGGAAATGGTGGAAAATTATTTTTCAAAAAGAGTTGTATAGGAAAGATCTCTCTTTTGAACAAAAAAAAAGAAAAGATCTCTCCAAAACAATCCAAAGAAACGCAATAGGAGAAGATTTACCCTTTTTGAATTGGGAAAGACCATGCTTTGTGTTATGTTCCTCATAACATTGAAAACTCATTAGTAAACCAAAGCTGGAGAAGAGTTGTGCCGATATGGGACATGCGGTTACTCTCACGCCAAATCTTGTAAACACATACATTCCATGCCTGAAGCAGTGTGATGGAGATGGCCTTACTCGTGGAAGTTGTTGATAATCAGTGGATGGTGGAAGCCAACTCAATAGATAAAGGGCAACTATTTTGCCATAATTCTAGTCCAGGTTTTAGCTGAGAAAAAACAATTAAAGTGCAAGTGATTCCTAGATTCCCCTCAACACCATATTAAGGAAATTTTGTTCAACATCACATCTCCAACAAAAATTCTTATCAATAGTAGTGTTGCGGTTAAAGACAAAGAGTAAAACTGTGAAAGCATATCTAAGGATTCTCACCTTATGCTATACCAAAACCGAACAAAGAACTAATGGCTTAGGTATCCTGATTTTATTCCAAGCATTTCGGGAAGAGAATGATTCCGAATCATTCCTTCAATCATCTAAACTATCATGTCATTTTAGAAGTAACTAGAATTATTTAATTCATTAATGGGAAATTAATAACAATTTTTTTGTGGGTGTCAAATAACAAACTTTCTTAAGGTATTTAAGAAACAACAAAAAAATAGAGAGATTTTCCATAAAGAAAGAACAAATTGTATATAACTTTTCTTTTAACAAAAAAAAAAGTATGCATCCTAGTGCTCGGGGTACATTAGCATAATGGGGAATGACTGAATATGAAAGACGGAAGACCCATGAACATGCACATGCTCTTGTTCCCTACGCCTCTCATGGGTCCTGAATTTAATATTTTATTCCCACATAATTAGGAAAAGAAAAAGAAAACTTAAAACCATGATTTTTTTTAACCATACATTAAATAAAAAGTCCTTCCATGATTAGTAGTCTAATTTAGAAAAAATGTTTATAAATAAAATTTCAAAAAATACTTTTTAAGAGCATCTTTATCGGTAGACATCATATCAGTGTTTTAAAATATATTATTTTAATAATTTTAATATAATATTATTTTTAATTTAAAGATTAAATCATAAAAGAAAAATGTACCCAATTATAAAAGGACATGTGTCCAGAAACGTTTCTCATTTTTACTCTCTCTCCAACTTTAATGTTATTTTTTATTTTTAAATTGCCCAGAAACTTTGTGAGACACTGTTGATGGAGATGGTCTAAAGTAGCTAAACATGAAAGACGTGTAAGCTTTCGTTCCCTTGAACTTTTAGTGATACACTCTTGGCAAAACAATATTGGCGTCTAATAAATTACCCGGACTCTTTTGTAGCACATATGCGAAAAGGAAGATACTTTAAGATGTAGTATTTAAATTGGTTTTTTGGTTTTTGATTTTTTTTTGTTTTTGATTTTTCATATAGATTTTACTTTTTTCAAATCTTGAATGATAACTTATTACTTTTGGTTTTATTTACTTATTAGAAATCTTTTTTGATTAATTGGTAAACAAAATATTTATTCCTAAAAATAACATTATAGATACTAATTTTAATTGAAAAAATTATATTATTTATAAACCTTTAACTAGTAAATAATTATATATGTAGACCCTTCTTTTTTTTTTGTCATCCATGTAGACCCTTCTTATAAATAAAATAAAATAAAAAAATCAATTGTAAATGTTGGAATAATTTAGTTTTGGTGAAATGTTAAATTTACTTGATCAACCAAAAAGTAGAGCTATTTACAAACTGAGAAATTATTGGAAATCATTTCAGTCAAAAAATATACCAACAGATTTCTTATTTTTCTTAAGAAATTTTTATGTGAATGTTTTTAGATACATAAAAAATACTTACATCTGTAAAATATATAGATACTAATCTGTAAAGAAAAGATATGAGAAAATAACGACGAAACAAATCATAAAGTAGTTATCATTAGAAAAGTGGAGATAAATTATTTTAACGTAAATTTACTTATCATAAATTACATATAGTGTTAGCATTTAGCTTTTCAAATAGCAAAAATAAGAACTCTATAGAATTAATATCACAATTACATATTAAAATTGATTTCTACTAATTAAGAGATGAAAACAAAAACACAGACTAATTTCAAAAAAAAAAAAAACACAGAAATATTTCAAGTTTGGATCTTCTGGTCAAATGATTTGTTTTCGAAGACAATTCTATTTTCCTATATACTTCCAATATTAAAAATTACAAACACATATGATCATAACAATACCAAAAAAAAATCAATCAATGCATATTGTCCTTGTTTTTTTTTTGTTCATGATCTGTTCTTGAACTTCTCCATCGCTCTTGGAGCTGAAACCCAATTGGGTGAAACAAAAGCAAGAACATTATTGGAAGAAAAAACGAGCCACGCTTAAAGAAACGAACAAAAAAAGAAAACGTACCAAGTCCAATTGCTTCGGATCCTTTCATTATGCGCAAACGTTTGCATGACTCGACAAACATCCTGAAATCGAGATTTGGGTTGGTGACTATAAATTTAGAAATCTATTGAAAGTGAAAAGAATATATGCCAGCTACAAATGAGCTAACATATTGAAGAGTAAATATTTATATATAAACATCTTCTGTGAGTTCTGTCCCATGCCAACCAAAAGATGGCTGTGCGTATTTATATATGAATTTCGATTATCATTTTGGTATTTTCTTATAAGTAATGTCAATAATAATAATTTTTTCAAGCTAGAGAATATAGTTTTTTTAGTTAGTGAACAGTTTTGGTCATATTAATTAGTTAAAGCTAGAAGAATGAAAAAACTCACGGCCAGGGGACATCACCAACGAGCATCCAGTCACCATCTTTGTCCTCGTAGCTTGGAACATACTCAGAGCTGTTCAACAGATCCATCACTTTACTCTCGTTCATGAAATCTATCATCCCTTGTGCTCCATAACTCCCTTTAATCAAACAAATCTCAAAACTTAGCATATTATTCTAAAGAGAGCATGAACATGATGCAAAAAAAAAAAAAAAAGAGTATGGCTTCAATAGTTTATGTGTTAACGTTTTACGTTTACATGCATGTGAAGTTACAAAAGAAAAATTCAGTAATTCTCTTTAAATAATACACTTTTTTATTTTAAAAAGTTACAAAATGTAAACGCAAAAAACCAAAGATCTTATATTGTGTTTGGAATTTTCTCTTACAAAACCTTTTTTTGTGTATACAATGAATAAAAAAAATTACAAATTTATATGAGAAACAAATTGTAATTAAGTAAACGCAAAAAAAAAATTAATAAATAAATAAAAATTGACGACTATGTCTGAAAATGCTTACCCATGGTAAAGGAGCTGAACATTTTGGCCAAGGCATCAGAGAGATCCTTGTAGCTGTTGTACATCTTGAGGTCAACCTTCCGAAGATAAGGAGCTCCATCCATGGAAACCTTCACAAAGGCGACGGTTCCTCCACCAGTATTACTCATTGCCTCCTCCGCTTCGCCGCTCTTCTGATTAGCCATAACATTTTTCCGGTAGTTCCTCACCGGTGGCCAACCCACCACTTGTGCTCTACATACAATATAATAACGCTCACTCAATAACGTTATTACTTATGCATCCATAAATTTTCATAAATATGTATTCAAGAACTTTATATCAACTATTAGTCTTTTTATCCCAAAAAATGTCTCCTCTTGCGCAATTGTGTAAATAGAACTTACTTAGCAGGAGGCTTAGAAGGGTCTTTAAGGAAGGTCTTCTCCTTGGGAGTTCCATTAACGTTGAGATCCACAGGTCCTTGTTTGTTAGATTGAAGATTGAGTTTGAGATCAACAGTCTCAGAGAAGCCTCTCTTGTTACCTACGCCCGACTTAGCCGGACTTTCCACGGTTTCGGCCCCTCCGGGGAGGCCAAGACAAAGGTCCGTCTCCTTAAGGTTCATCTTTTCTTGCTTTGTCTATATTTGTGTTAAATCAAAATATGTTTTCTCTCTCGATAACTCTTGATGGGGGTGAAGTTTGATAAGAGGGGAACAAGAAAGAGGTAAGGAGAGAAGACTCGATAATATAAGGGAAGACGAGAGAGACTATGGTAATAAAAAAAAAGGTTTAAATTCGATATTAGTCTGACTTTTCTATAAACAATTCTTTAACTATAAAAAAAAATACACTGGTCTATTGTGTATCTGCTGTGCATGGAATCCCTACATTTTCTTGCAATGTGGGTTCACAGGACGTGGCCTTCTGCTAAACGTTGGCAGGTTGTTTTACTATAGGTTAAGAATAATCTTTTAACATTTTTTTAGGTTTTGAAAATATGAATATATGTTTGCCAAAAAAAAAAAAATCTATGATATTTTTAATCACAATATTGATTAAACTTTTACCTTTTCGACCCATAATTTTTTATGGTATCCGGAGTTTAGACATGAATAATAACAAGTTTAATGACTTAAGTTCTCACTCTTAAGTCGACTAAACCACCATCCACTTAGTATTTTTACGTTTTAGTTCTTCTGAGAAAAAGTACAAGAAGCTTTTTTCCTTTATAAGGATTTTTGTGTTAAGCAATTTTGTATCATATTAGTTATATGCGGATACTAATGTATTTTTATTTCACCAATAATTGAAGTGTTGTCTGAAACCAAAAAAAAAAATTGATTATAATTAATTAGATGCACATACTAACAATTTAACTAAACAATAAAAAGTCATTATTCTTCTTTTCTTTTTTGCTGAAAAAATTCATTAGTCTAATACAACAACTGAATTGATGTAATTTTGTTTTTCCGCCAAATGTTGATTTATATATATAGTTTCGTCAAGTTATCAGGCATGATATACTACATTTTTTTATTTTATAACAGTGACTAGTAATATCAAGTAAGATATAAATGAGGGAAATCTAAGTAAATAATTAGATATATATTTATATACGTAATCATATCAATCTAAAATGGATTCAGATTCCGAGTAATTAAAAACTGAAATTCTACAAACATGTGTACATCTTGCAACATGTCTACCAATTTGTTAGACGTTGCCTCCAATGGTCAACTGTTCACGTATCACATCATCACATGAATACAGCAAGTGATATTGGACGGTAAAAATTCCATGAATCGTATTTGGTCAACATTATTATATGATTAATCATTTAATCCTATTTCCTAAACTTTCGAAGTTTGTGTATATTTTACTTCAATTTGGACCATTGATCTTCTCTCAACATTTCCCTGAATTTCCGTGAAATGATGGGGCAGTTTTCAGAAAATATGCTTGTTCAGTTGTCGATTAAATCATTACTCCCTCCGTTTCGTTTTAGTTGTCGTTTAAGTTTTTTTCACACAAATTAAGAAAAGCATTAAATTTTCTGTTTTACCCTTTATTAATATATTTTATAAAAGATTTCATTGGCCAAAACATTAAAACAGTAGGGATAAAATTGGAATTTTCACCAAACATTTGCATTGAAAACATAAAACGACAACTAATATGAAACAAAATTTAAATCCTAAAACGACAACTAAACTGAAACGGAGGGAGTATTAAACTACATAATTAATTTAAAATAAGCTTGTTTTCCGAACCTTCCAATCATGTGGTTCAAGTATAACCACACATGAACGTATAATTTGTCCGACGGAAAGTGCGGGTTCGTGACTTTATATTCATTTGCATGCTAAATTACATTTTCTTAGTTTAGGCTATTATAATCACATTTCATATCATTAATTTTAGTTGACCATTATATTTGACACCAAAAAGAATAAGAATATAATGAGCCGTTCAAAACTTAAAATATTAAAAGGGCACATGGATTTTACTTGCGACCTCTTTGAAACTATACATTACCACCCATTGTTTTGTAGTTAGGGGATGATTATTATCCTTTGGAAATCTTTGGAAATAAGAATGACTATTATTTCTTAGATACAATATAATACTCCAAGATACCTAATCCTTTGAATATAACACTATAATGGATACTTTGCTTTAAATATCCAGCAAAAGTTGATATTAAAATCTGATGAGAATATTAAAAGTTACATTAATAAGTATTAGTATATCAAGAATCCAAGATCATGTCAATTTAATATTATCGATATGTGCAGTCATTTATTTTTGTGTTTATTAGTATTCAAATAATTATTAATAAAAATATTTAGTTGATTATATATCGTTATATCTGATCATATTACAAATAATCATTTATCTTTTTATGTCAATAACATCACTTATGTGTGTTTGGATCCACCTACGATACATTAACAACATTAGCACAAACCATTAGAAAATAAAAACATGCACCACATTCATGATGGACTATTTTAGCATTAACTTCCGAGAGCCCAACAAATAAATTCTATTTGCACTACGTTAGAGAATTTTTTTTTTTTTTTTTACGTTAGAGATTTCTGGTAAACTTATCTCTACTTATCTACGTAATTTGCAGTTTCTAAGAGCATAGAAAAATAAAATATATTTTTGCCCAATACTGGCTTAAAAGAAGAAAACCAAGAAGTAGATTAGTTATTTTTTAGATCGGTGAACTGTCGAACAAAGACACATTGCTTCTTTTTTGTTCCTTTTTTTTACTTTCTTGATAGCAAGAACAATCTAATAACCAAAACAATACTAATTTTTGAAATCTTTGAAAGATCGGATTTTATCAACATTTAATGCATGGAATATGACTGAAAAACACAAACAGTGGATATTCATTGATGGATAACTCGATCTCCGACCTATATCCACAAGAAAACACATCTTCCCTAGTCAAAGTACTATTCAATTGAATCCGGTGAAGATAGTGAGACAGGTCACATCCAATTGGGGAAGCAATAAACATACCAAACCCCCAAAGGCTATGTTTTTGCCTTGTCACCATCCCTCACTCCCCCAATAATCCCATTGTTTCTATCACTCCCACCATTCAAATTCTCAACCATTTTTTCTCTCTTTTTATTATTATTCTCTTTTTAGATTTTCAAAAACGTTTCTAAACCAATATAATAGTATTCAATAAGATGAAGATACTTTTTCCTCTCTTGGAGCATCTTTCATACTCATCATCTTATTAGCTGTCCACCTTCCCAACCACAAATTCCTCTCTACATAAACACCTTTCAATAGATGCAACAACATATGCACTTGTCCCTCGAATTAGTTTTCTCATCAAATTTTTTTGTTTTCTTCTTAACTGATTATTAAATGCGTACTATCAATTATCTTCATGCACATATGATTAGGGTTTTGAATCTTATCTATATCAAGTTCTATAACATGAAGCGTAAATATGGTGAACTTCTGTAGTTTGTGGATACTATTGATTTTTGATAGATGTAAAGAGTGGATATAATATGACTACGTGGATCTATTTTTCATTATGCATTATGGATTATATATGGTAGGCTTCCGCTTGACTTTTAGCCATAAACTCATTTATTTGTTCTAGTGGTAGAGTGGAGATGCATATCGTATTTAATTGATATCGTAATATACAAAATAATAAATGTTTACCTTTTTATTTTTTGTAAAAAAAATCTTTACCTTATTGTTTTACTTACGAGTTACGATGTCTAAGTAACCTACAATTTTTTATATGGCTCACTATGCTTTTAGTTCCAAAAAGAGTAAAGGTGCGGAAATTGGACTGTCGAAGTATATGTATATCCAAAACTTTTGTCAACGATATTATCCAAAAATCAAATTATTTGTTTATTTTAAGAAAAAGAAAAAGCTCATCAAGAATGGAAGCAGATCAAAAACAAAAACAAAAGGTTCAAGATTTCAGGCGAGGAGAGTTTCAATTACCTCCTAACAAAAGATAAGATCACTCGTTGCAATTTTGTCACACTTTTCGGTTTCTGCAATTGGTATTGCAGTTGTTAGTTTTGGTTTGTGTTTTAATGAAGGCTCCTAGGCAGACCTGTTTGGTGTGTGTATTATACCTACTGGTGCTTTGGTTGCAGATTTTAAGCTTGATGCTTAAAGTTAGTCTTTCATATTACTTTCTAATGTCAAAGAAGTTGTTATGCTTAACAAGTTTTAGCTTTTGTACTAAAGTTGATAACCCTTGTAATAGTGTTGTAGTTTATGTACTGCTATGGTGGTTTATTTCACTTTTGTAACTGTGTTTAATTAAATCGACCTTTTTGTGAAGAAAAAAAATAGGACACCAAAAATATCAAAATCGAAAGGCCACACTTATATATATACATTGTTAGATTTAGTTGGTTAAGTTTGTATTTTATTTTATTTAAAGTTTTAACCACTATCTCATATAATTTAGGATTTGTGTTATTTTGGAAAAAATTTTAAAAGGAAAAGCATCTATGTTTCCAAAATTCCTTACAAAACAAATATCATTAAAAAAAAAATTATCTATATAATATGCAAATTTTAAATAATTTACTTTTTGTAATACGTAGTCACGTACGCATAGATTGAAAAGGATGTTGAGGAGTTATATATACTGTATAACTAAAATAAAATTAAAATTAAAAAATACTATAGGATTAATTACCACGGATACGTACGGGCCACGGTTTAAAAATTTGATATTGCCAAGTCCAAATTTTTCTATAGCTAGCATACAAAATTTTGATATTGCCAAGTCCAAATTCTTCAAAACCTAGCATATAGTTTTAACGAAAACGTAAGACTACATAAAATGGCATTAACAGCAAAAACAAAAATTTGTTAATTATATTGAACTAAGATATTCCATGGTATCCACGAGGTACTAGTGGCTAAAATACAGTGAAACTGACTAGGAACTACCAAAACGAAGGAGGGTCAGAAAAAACCATCTTTTTCATGTTCTTAAAAGTGAGATATAATATACTCCCTCCGTATTTTAATAATTGTCGTTTTAGAAATTTTATTTTTTTGAATTAGATGTCGTTTCAAATTTCTATGCAAAATTTATTACTTTTTAATGTTTTATGACATCATAAAACATTAAAAAGTAAGAAATTTTGCATTGAAATTTGAAAACGACATCTAATT